GTCTGTCTCTTATACACATCTAGATGTGTATAAGAGACTAGCATGGTCCTTGCGAGACGGATAAATTGGGGAAAAAAAAAAAAAAAAAGGTGGGGGCCTATGGCCATTGTTTGTGGGGAAAAAGCATGCATGCTGCTCTCCCCATTCATTGTGCACAATCCTTTAAACTATATGGAAAATATAAAAAAACGGAAAGCGAAATCCTGTAGTAATGGGGGGGCCTCCTATGGCAAGTGTTCTCATGTCCCGCTCATCAATCTCTGATAGAGGGCCGTTGATCTGTACATAATCCACGATGAGAAATGAGTTTTTTTTTGTTGTTGTTATTGTTGTTGTTTGGGGGGAGAGGGGGGGCGGGGGGAGGGCGGATGAGAAACAAGTTTTATTATTATTATTATTATGGGAACTAATGGTAGAGTCGAAACACGCGCTGCAGGCGGGAAACAAGGGGTTTGAGGGGGAAAAAAGGACGGAAGGGGCTTAGGAATAGACCAAGATTTTTTTTTTTTTTTTTTTTTTTTTTTAACCAAATTTGGACCATTTCTCGATTTATGCGTGTCATCGTTGCGGATGGGGCCATGCTAATCTTCTTTCTCTTAGTCGCCTGTTCCTGATGTTCAATACCAAAAAAAAAAAGAATAAAGAAAAAAAATTCTCTGTTTCGTTCCATTTTTAACTGATGCCCCGAAAGACGAGCTTAAAAAAAAAGAAAAAAGAAAAAAAACAGTGAGAGCTTTTAACCTCGCCCATGTGATGTGGCGCGGCGGAATGATACACACGTGTAGCTGTTGGCAAACAGGTCATGAGTTCGAACTCTGATTAGATCTCGGGGGCGAGGCCCCACTAGCAAAGAGGATTGGCTTGAAATGCTTGAATCTGGACGTGTACGAGGACAGATGCAGAAAACCGTGACTGATCTGCTTTTCTGCATCTCCACCATGAACCTATTTAGGTTCAGGCTCTTAATTCGATCCTCTTTGCTAGTGGGACCCCGGTCCAGATGAATGCAACATTGCCTGTAGCTACCTCCTTAAAAAAAAGAAAAAAAAAAGAAAAAAAAAAGAGCTTGCGGTTGTTTATCGGAGCCAAACTGTGGGCGCAGGGCAGTTTTTCTTTTGTTGTTGTTTTTTGAGCGCCCCCGAAGGACAATAGGGCGGCAGGTTAAAAAAAAAAAAAAAAAGGGCGGCGCCACACTCTGCCGCAGCGCAATACAGAGGCAACGCTGGAGGGGGTCCAGCAACCAAGTTACCCATCGGACCCCTCCGTAACACAAAAAAAATATATATATATATATTATTTTTTTTCCCCCATGGACCACGGATCAGATGTTAAACTGATCAGAACAGATACAATGCACTTGATCTTAGCCGAAAGGCCGAAAAAAAAAAAAAGGCCGAGAAACCCCCTTGCCATTATCACTATGATTATGATTATGATGATTATTATTATTATTGTTATTATTATTGTTTTTTGGGAACGTTGCCAGCCGCTCGGCTCTCTCTTTTTTTTTTGGTTGAACTTTACCAATAAACACTTTGGGAATGCGCGACAGATGCTTAGGGAATGAGCGACGTGTGGTGGGCCATTGTCTGTGTAAGCCAGTGCGTGCAGATTGATGGATGTGCGGCAGCAAGGGGTACTGCGATTGCGATCGCCCGCTGTGCGACAAGTCAAGTGTTGCCATAGGAGAGGCTCGTGGGTCGTGGGTGACGTGTGGTGAGCGCTTGTCTGTAGTCCAGCGCGTGCACATGAATGGGTTGATGACTGTGCGACAGGAGGAGGGTGTGCGGCGATCGCCCGCAGCACAGGCTTGGACTGTGCGACGCGTTTCTTTGACAGCAGCAGAGGCCTTGACTGTGCGACGCGTTTCTTTGACAACCGCAGAGGCCTGTACTGTGCGACGCTTTTGACAGCAGCAGAGGCCTGTACTGTGCGACGCGTTTGACAGGAGCAGAGGCCTGGATTGTGCGACGGCACTGCTAGTAGGTCCATGATACAGTTGCAGTGACAGAAGGTGGGTAGGGGCACACAGCTTGGTCTGCGGCACTTAGCCAGCCTCGTGTGCGACGTGCGTTGGCTGCGACGATGACAGAGTGACGTGCATGCATGGGCGCGTGCGACAGCCGGCCAATATAATTTTGATTTGCATGTCACAGTAATTTGTTGATTTTCGAGGTAGAACAGCAAGAAGAGGAAGGACGAGCAGGAACCATGGATGCCGACGTGGGAGATATCGAGGATATGGTTGCCCCTGCCACGGATACAGGACCGCCCGGGCTCCCTAGTTATGGCGGCAGCTCCGAGAGGGAGCCCCCCTCAATGCCTGAGGTGAGAGTGGGAAGAAGGATGCGGGCCCAGCTGAATGGCTTATCAGGTGTACGAGAGAGTCCCATCGGACCCATCCCTGGAACGCAGGTCTGCTGCCGTCCCTCTCCACGTACCAAACACACCCGCACCCCTTGCCCCCCTTTCCAACTCCATATCCTTCCAGCCCTTTTGAATGAATCCCTCTTCTTTAGAGTGCTCGTAGGTAGTACATTGCGGCACTCTCTACGCACACGCATTTACGCTGAAACACATACTCTGTCTGTGTGTGTGTTGTCATGTTCGCTGTACACAAGTCCACAAAAAAAGCCTGACTGTGCCGAGCAGACTGTTTCGTCGGACTTTCACCGGCTCATCAGGAGGTTGAACCTCGACAGTCTGCCTAGGATGCATTTGACTGATGGAAAAGGACTCACCACGTCGCCCAGAGTTAGCCATATCCCTGAGAGAGAAAAGTGGTCGACTTTACTCACACCAACTCTGTGTG